TTGCACTTTTGACAAAGTCAAGCGCCGCCAACCTTCAACTGAATCACTAAAAATTTCAGGTAATCTAAGATCAACTAAACATTATAAACAACTTACCTTGAAATTTAAAGACTGGGAGAGCAAAGAGAGAATATTGGCAACCTAGCTTGAAGGATTCATCTAAAATATTAGAGAAGACGGGTTGAATTGTATTTACATTTGCATTGCAAGTTGTCCTTGACCCGTTGGTCCCTATGTCTTCTTAATCAATGTCTATTAGGTTGACTCGTGCAATTTCTGTTGTGTCAAGTGTGATAAACAAGAAATTGTACAAAGATTATTTAAATTATATGAATGAATCATGTGGCAACCAGAAAAACACGTTATAGAATTTCCTATGCAGACAAAGTAGCATAAAGAAAATGGTAACGTAATGGAAAAGTTGGTCCATTGATTGGAAAAATCAGAGTAACAACTATCAAAGACCAAGACATTATAAAAAGACTCATTAGTCGCCATTCTTTTTTGAATAGTCTTTGCCTCATAATAAAGAAATTGTACCTTTTTCTCTAGAATTATTAAGTAAAAATAAGAATATATCCACAATATATTTTTGATCATGATCTTGTGGATCTTTCTATAGTAAAGTCTATGTTCGAAAAGTTGGCCGCCTAGCTCATTACTCTCCCACTTAGCCACTCGATGGAAGCCATCTGGCGACTAAGGTAATCAGTTTCAAAAATCCACTTACTAGTTTGAATCCTTGTTATTGAATCAATTATTTGAAAGTACGGAAAGTACGGAAAATCAATCCATGGTGGCACTTAATAATCAGATGAGGATAAAGATGAATCAGATAGAGCCTTATTCTACATGTCCATAATATTTGATAATCTAATATCAATTCCTGCCATTTAATTCAGTGGTTATGTTACTCCAGCCTAATGTGATTACTATCTTTTTTATGTAAATATTTAGTAAAAGAATCGATTTATTTTCTTAATCTAGTAGATGTATAATTAGAATTGGACCTTTACACCAAATAAAACCACTAAAATTGTCATAATTAATTAGTTTTTTTTTTCTGGTTAAATGACATGAAGATATCTTCAACCTAATTTCTTTCATTATTGTGTGTCTTATGATTGAATTTTTGATTTTGTATTTTGGATAAAGTTAAACTAATTGTCTATGACATGATAGTTCTAACTTCGTTTACCAATCTATGATGGATTAATGGATTAAAAGACCCTAAATCCAAAATAATCTCCGATTAGTCTTTAATTGATCTCCAACTTTTTCATTAACCACTAACGACAGTCCTAACCAAATTTTGATCATTGAATATAAACTATTTATATTCCTTGGCAAATTTTGATCATTGAATAAAATAATCAATTTTGTGACAAAAAAAAACAATAAAATAATCAATTTACGATTTTATTTTTTCTTTCTCTCTCCTCGTTGGCTGTTTCTTCGGCTGAGAAAAAATGGTGGAGGATCAGAAGATATCTTTAGACACAGATT